TGCAAGGAACATGAGTATGGACGAAGCACAGAAATCCAGAATGCAAAATCACACCGAAGTCCAAGTATTCAAAGCCAAAGCAGATAGCACATGGAACCGAGTAACCATCCCATTGAGAATGATACAGAAGAATCGTGAGTCAATGTCCATGCCCAACAGGGCAACACCAACAGCATAACCCAAATGTAGCTCTCTCTTGTGAATGGCGCCAGGCGCCCTATCTACTCTACAGCCTATCCTACAACTACAGCAATGAACAGCAACCAGACAACTTGACTACCAGCGAGTGATGATGTCAACACCAATGCAGACCTCCACCATCACCAAGTACGTGTCCTCTTCCCCACACTCTCCCTTGTTACCCACACAGCGCTCTTCACCTCCGAAGTACCACCTTCGCCCTTCACCTTTCTGCGCCCTCTGCAGCCCGGCTATGGCCGCCAAGCGCCCATTGCACAGGCAGCGCCCTACCGCCTAGCGCATGCCTGCCTTGCACTACCTCTTAGYGCAGCGCAGCAGCCAGCAGCTYGCATTTGCGCAGCGTGCCGGCATTGCCCGCAATGGCCAAGATCCCTGCCCACGTGCCCTGCTTGCCTATATGCCAGTGCAGCGTGTGGGCGGCCTCCCTTCAGCCTGTGACTGGGGCCCAGAGGCTGAACTCAGCCCGATGCGGTTGGGCCCCGGGAGATGCAGTTGTGCCTCTCGCGTCAAGGCCTGCGGCCAGATTCAGACAGTGGGCCGATTTCCCTTTGCATTTTCGGCCTCTTTACCCAGCGTGCATTGTCAGCCTCACGTTCAGGAGCCCAGGGCCTAACTAACTCAGAGGCCTTGGGGATTTCAGCATTTGCTGAGATCCGAAACTCGGTGCACTCCAACCAACTGGCGTGCTGCAACTGTAAGGACCCCACTTCGTGAAATGTATGCACCGAGGGCTATTGTTGATTTGCTGGCCCGCCTTCACTTAGGGCGGGCACGAGGCTTGCTGGGGCCTTAGTCCAGAACATGTACATCATGGCAAGGCCCCTACTTGAGGGCTCAATCCTCACACCCCGATCATCCGGCCAGATAATCCGACCAGATAATCCGACCAGATTATCCGGCCAGATAACCCATGCTACCTAGGGGATAATTTGCACAATACCCCCATAAGTTGAGATATATGCCAAAATGCTCCTACGAGATGTGGGTAGAGTGGAATGCCCCTCTGACGTTACCAAATTTAAAATATAAAATTATTATTATTATTTTTTTTTAAGGGGTAATTTGTGAGATACCCCTATAAGTTGAGATATATGCCAAAATGCCCCTAAAAGATGTGGGTAGACTGGAATGCCCCTCTGACAACATAATATATATATTTTTTGAAACACCCCTAGCATCGGTTAGACCGCCATCTTTGCAATATACCCGTACTGTGTGCCGTCCAACTTTGCAAAATGCCCCAGCACTTGCCAGCTTTTTCGAGGCGCTATTGCAAAAGGCCAAGGCCCAAACTATCAGCGCCTAGAAAAAGCTGGCAAGCACGGGGGCATTTTGCAAAGTTGGACTATCGGTCGTGTGGCTTCGTTTTCGCTGTCTAGTACGTGCTGCTATGGCTAATTTACCCACGGGTAGTGTACGTACGTGCTTCAATTGCGGTGACCCTAAGTAGTTCGCCTGCTGCCCTCCTTTCCTACTCTCTCTTGCTGTGTGTTGCTGCATGTATGGTAGTCACACTGTCAGCGTGGTTTTTGTTGCTTTTACTACGCAAGGCCCAAACGGGGAGGTCCAGATTGCGAAGTTGCACACGCGCTTGACAGGGGCACAACACAAAGATTTCGGCCCAGAAGGGCATTCCGCTCTACCCACATCTTTCAGGGCCATTTTGGTATATATCTCAACTTACGGGTGTATCGCCCAAATTATCCCATTTTATTATTATTATTATTTTATTATTATTATTATTTTTTTTTTTTGGCCCGGCTGGGCAAGTGGTCCCAGGCCAGTCAGTGCACATTCAAGGGAGCTAAGAGCTGCAAAATGGTGGGGACCACATGCGGAAATAGGATAAAATGGGGAAAGCCCCTTTCACCATCTTTCTTAGTGTACCTCCTGACTCTGTCCTCTCTCCGTTCCGAAGTCCTCTGTCTGCTATGGATTTCCACAACTAATGAATTATATTGTTGTTGATTTGTGACTGGCTCAGCCGCTGCACAGGCCGTCTGAGAACGCTCTGCCAGAGAGGCTTGTTGCAGCCATCAAAGTTAAATTAACATTCAAAGTTCGTTTGATTTTTTACTTCAATGCTGTTCGCCTGGGATCGAGCATTTCACAATGGAAGGTTCCCCTTCATGAATATGATCATTATGATGTCTCATCATTTGAGTTCATGTCATTAGACAGAGCCCCTCTATGGAAATGATGATATCACACCATTTCACTTCATGTCATTAGAGAGAAAGTTCCAAGAAGAACCCTCTCCCTCTCTTTCCCTCCCCCGTCTCCGTCTCCATCTTTCTCTCTCTCTCTCTCTCTCTCTCTCTCTCTCTCTCTCTCTCTCTCTCTCTCTCTCTCTCTCTCTCTTTCTCTCTCTCGCGCTCTCGCCCCTTATTCTTCTCCAGATTGCGCTTTTCACTTACCTGTACAGTGTTGGTTGTTGTGCTCTGTTACCTGCAGTCCTTCCATTATGTAAAATACCGGCGCGAGGAGAACCAGCTCTATATATTTGCTGATGACGTCTGTCCAAGATGGCTGACAGCAACGCTGCATATGGATTTCGACACCTGCGCGGGTGCAGACAAATTTGGGAACATGTACGGATTGCTCTGACCCCGACTCCGATTCCGATTCCGATTCCGACTTTGCCCAAATTTGAAATTTGCTTGTTATTTTGTTTGTCGGAATTCGTCCCTTTTTTGTACCCCCTGTTTCGTCGGGCTCTTCCAGGAAAGAAAAAAAAGGAGAAATTCTGAAATTGTAGTTTTTCACTATCCAAATACTGCGTCACCGGTGCCATTTTTACTGTAAATTTTACATGATGGATTCAGATGCCTTGCCTGGACTAAGAAGCAAGGCCCCTGCCCGGATGTGGATTCGGATGCGAGGAGTTGTTTCCCTGTGGCCACCTGGGCTTTTCGACCAGGCCGCCTGGGTGACGTTGGCTGGCCGGATGGCCTGGCCGGGCATGGGCCAGGGAAGGTCCCTGCCCAAAAAAAAAAAAAAAACTATTTGCCTCAGGGTAGGGTCAGATCGAAATTCTTTACGGAATAAACTAAAGAACTTTTGCCTCCGGGGCTCTCCGGGAACTAAGGCGGGGGCACCCATTTGTATGGACTAAATCAGATCCAGACATTTCCCTGGGGCATGCAAACCCCTGGGTCCGCGTCCAGATGTCGTATCACGTCCAGAAGTTTTGCGCAAGTTTTGTGGAACTGAGTCGCGACAATGTGGTCAAGGAGATGTAGCACTCTGAGAGCATATTCACACTAGGGCTTTTTGGACTAAGCTCTGGACGTAACTAGCGTTTTCACCCGAGTAGAACACCCGGTCATTATCGGTGCATCGGGAACGAAAGTTGTGCCAAATACAGCGATAATGACGGGGCGTTTTATTCGGGCGAAGACGGTAGCGTAAGAAACATCCACATCATGGTAGAATTGCGGTCAGGTACGTCCAGGTACGTCCAAGTGCAAGTACGTCCAGGTACGTCCAAGTGCAAGTACGCCCAGAAAGTGAATGCTTCGACGCGATTCTCGTCCAACTATGGAGGAGAGTTTCAGTCTGCTGTTCCTGTTTAGCGATTGGGATTTGTAATTTTGTAGATCATTTCCTAGAATTTGTGTAGTAAAAACCCCAAAAAACTACGACAAAGTGTATGTTGAATTATTGTTGATGATACCTTCTGGAATCTGGATGTATCTCAGATTTCAGACGTTTCTTTAAATTGTTTCTGAGAATCTGAATTTGATTTCTTGGATGTGTGTTTTTGGTTTGCAGATATTTTGTTAGGCTCCCGCAAGAGATATCAGAAGAGATTGAAGATGACCCCACAGGTGGTAGGGTCAAATGGGAGCAAGGGAAGCTGAATGGCGCACCGAACAAGGTTCGATAGATATCTGGCTGCCTTCATTTTTCGGAACACCTGACAGAAAAAGGAAGTTGTCGTTTCAGTCTGTTGTGGGGAACATCGCCTCCTCACTGGAAAGAAGGAGACTTCATTGCGTCGCGTCCTCTTCTTCTTTCTTCCGTTTTCTTCTTCTTCTTCTTCTTCTTCTTCTTCTTCTTCTTCTTCTTCTTCTCTCCTCTATTCTCTATTCTTCTCTCTTCTCTCCTTCCTCGTCTCCTTCGTGTCGGTCTCCGTCTTCGTGTCTTCTTCTTCTCTCTTCTCTGTTCGCTCTTCTCCTTTGTGTCTGTCTTCGTCTTCGTCTTCTCTCTTCTCTCTTCTCTCTTCTCCTTTGTGCCCGTCTTCGGTGTCTTCTTCTCTCTTCTCTCTTGTCTCTCCTCCTCCTCCTCCGCCTCCGCCTCCTCCTTCTCCTTCTTTCTTTCTCTACACTTCTCTTTTTTTCTCTTGTGTTGTTTCCCTTATTTTGACCCCACTCGGGCAGTCTCGACTCTCTTCATTCTCTGGATCTTAGATCCAATGGATCCCTACGTCTTTGGTAGCATGTGCCATCAAGGAAGCACGATGGAACTAAATGTATCTCTGTGTACACGTTGCGCGGCTACCACCCGGGCATCCGGAATGGGCCGTCGTCATGGTCAGTGTTCTGGAGTGCAGAACCTGGTTGTATGGAGCTGTGTGGATCAAATTAAAAACATGGGATTGCTGTTTGAAGTTTTTCAAATGTTGATGTCACAAAGAATTACCGAAAAATCCTTAGAAAATATTGTAGTGTGCAGCATCGCAATGAAAACATGCAGCGTCACAACGAAAAAACGACTTGGGTGAAGGGCATGCTGAAGTCCGTAACCAATTTTTCAAGTGAATGGACTCTAGCCAAATTTTGTGTACGGCGCCTCCTTGTTCTGGCTTCGATTCGGGACACAGAGTCTTAACCACCGAGTGTCTGGGTCCGCTGCAATCACCATGCCATGATGAATTTTTTAAATGACCACCACCTGCATGCCTTCTGTTCCCTTCGTCATCAAGAAATCTTGTGCATTGACGTAGTGCGTAAATAAATGTCGCGGGACACAACTGTGGGTCTTTGCAGCTTGCACTGCCTTGCAGCTTATGGTGGAAGCATATGTGGGAAGCAGACGTCTGGCAATCAAGACTGTGTCTTTCTCTTTTGTGTACGGTCATCCTGACCTGGAGACAGGGTTGGCTATTGGCTATTCTTCTCGAGGGTCTTCCGCTGCTTGCATGTCGATGATCTCTCCAACTTACAATCGTACTGTTGTGCAGGTTGAAGCGATCATCCAGATTCATGTGGGCGAGGTTGTAACTTGCATGCAGAGGGCTTCACTGATACCAGGGGGAAGTGAGAGCTTACTGTATGGAACAGTCATGGGTGCCGTCGGTGCGTTGTTGCCATTCGCATCTCGAGAAGATGTCGATTTCTTCTCTCATCTGGAGATGCATCTTCGCCAGGTAAACTAAGTTATTTCCTCCTCTCCTCTCCCTCTCCTCTCCCTCTCCCTCTCCTCTCCTCTCCTCTCCTCTCCTCTCCTCTCCTCTCCTCTCCTCTCCTCTCCTCCCCTCCCCTCCCCTCCCCTCCCCTCCCCTTGTTGCCATTCACATCTCGAGAAGATGTCGATTTCTTCTCTCATCTGGAGATGCATCTTCGCCAGGTAAACTAAGTTATTTCCTTTTCTCCTCTCCTCTCCTCTCCTCTCCTCTCTGCCCGACCGATTATCCTTTAGCCATTTCCTTCCCACCTGTCTTCAATTCATTCAACACTTTATGAATGGAGCCTACCCTCTTCCCCCGAGTACAAATTTCCCTCGGTGATTGTGCATTCATGATCTGGGGTGTGTTGTGTTTGGGGAAAGACAGTGGGTAGAACGCAAAGTAAGATAAGGGATTGATTACATAATCGAGCAAAGAAGGAAAGAAAACTAATGCTCCGTCAGGTTTCAGTCCCACCAGGCCATCGTCAATTTTCAATTCCCATTAGCTAAGGGTTCAGTCTAGATAAGAGCTGGGATGGTTGGATTTGGCCGGCGGAGTATTATCTTGTTTACTTAACCCACTCTCTAGACTCAATTGTATCTGGAGAGAGAAAGAAGAAAAAGTCCATCTCTCATTTCTCAATCACAAGAGATGAAGATCCTGAGGTTCGAATATGAGCCTCGTAATCTCGCTATGTGCTGGAACGCCTCGGAAGGTACGAAGTACGAAGTCCTTCTTCGCTTATTAGATTTCTAAGCGAATGCCATACATTGGGACAAGTAGGTTATCAGCAGGAAAACGCAAAAAAGTATGGCCGCTCGCCCTAGCCAGTGACCGCCGAGTTGTTTGGGATCCTCAGAGACTTTACGCAAGAATTCCCTCAATCAAACAAAAGAGCGCTCTTGCGCCTTCGGCCTTCTTCCATACTTAGGGGGGCGATTTGTTTATTATTTGGAAGTCTTCAATTTAATTTAAATTCAATAGATTCCGCGACTGTATTTATCGAATTGATTGTATTTGTATATATAATTGCTTTCTTAGAGGGAACAAGAGAAAGTCCTATCCGTCACGAGAGCGGCGGCGTTCTCTACCAGGCTCTTCCCTTCCGCCGGTGAGCCAAAATAATGTTATATTTGAATGCTTTTGAATCTATAGTGTTAATTCTACTCTCTACTTGTAGTATGCTTTTCATAGGAAGTGTTAGTAATAACTTAATATTCATCTGGAAAAGCACACAAGAGCACAGAAGGCACAGCTTGCAAACCCCTTGAGAAGTCACTGATCAGCGTGCTATTTTTGGCTGAACTGGTATTTCAGGAAAATCCTCCTCTTTGCGGGCGAGATCATATGGCGTACCGATCAGCATACTTCCCTGTAAAGGTGAGCCTTTTTTTTTTTTTTTGGTTAATCTGGGCAGAGCTTGTGAGCAGGAGTGATTACTAGCATCTCTCCTTCTAGCGGGCCCGTCGTCTCTAGATGCTCCGGTCTATTGCCGGTCAGCGGCACCTGCTGGAAACCGGGTCCAGCGTCCCATTGGACAATCTGCCAACCTCTTCCCGGGGGCCATTACCCGGTTTTGGCTGAGGCTACATTGCAGTGTTCTCTCAATGTATCTGTTCTCCTACCTCCCTCTCCTCTTGTTGTTGCCTTCCCCCTCCTTGTCCTCCGCATCCTCGATTGATTTGCAGAACCTGATGTGGTGGTCTTCCAGGTTATTGGGCGTAGACTTTGCTCATCCATCTCCGTCTATGTTACAAGACTACCGTCTTCACCCGAATAGAACACGCGGTCATTATCGCTGCATCTTGACCGAAAGTTGTCAAAAATACAGCTATAATGACTGGGCGTTCTATTCAGGTGAAGACGGTAGGCTACCAGAGTGGCCTGGGACCACTTGGCCGGCTGGACCCAAAAAACAATGTGTATGTTTGATGATATATATATACTCTTCTCTCTCTCTGCCTACGGTTTACCGGGCAGTTCTGTTTGTGACGATATATATTATATTATATATATAAAAATGATATTTACATTCATTTTAAGTTTGGTAAAGAATTTCGATGTACCCTGAGGCAAAAGTTTGCTCAGTTTATTTTTCTGCATAACATAGTTTTTTAACGTTTTTTGTTTTTTTTGCAATCAGACTCGTTTTCAAACACACTTTTCACACATGTAAAGAGTAACGCAGCACACTGGCGACATTCGCCCACTCAAAACTCAGAGATATGGTTTTCAGATACGAGTTCACTCCCAAKTGGCTATGGTGACCTCAGCGCACAAACATCTCACTGTTCACATACACTGGATCACCCTGGATATCCCACACGCATCACTCTAACACTCGAGCACA